TCATCCATGAAAGTGCCAGAAATTAATCCCAAATGTGGTCTGAATCCTTGCCATAGTAAAGGCTTCAGGAGGCTAGCCTGGGACTCACAGATGATTATGCACAATCACAAGAATTCCCAGAAGGTGTGCATTGTTTTCTGCCAGGGCAACAAACTACTGATTGAAGCATTTGTCCTATTCATATTTAAATATAATGATAGATATGGCTAGATTTAGAACTGCCAATTTGGTGTTCAGTTTATATATGTTCTATGTATTTTTATTCTTTGAGGCTTTCTAGGAATCTCACCTGCATATGCATAGGTAAGTGGCCATGCAATGAACCCGTAAGAGTCCCACCCTCTACTGATTACCTGTGTGTAGACTAGGAAATCATTCAAAATTGCAGCCAAGACTCCAATCTCCTTTTGCTTTCATTTTTGGCTGGACTTTGAGTGTCTCCCCTTGACATGCAGTTTCACAGTCGGCCAAAAATAGGTGGAGAGTTTACCTCCGCCCTTTATTATTACCTTACTTCCAGGACCTCCCTGTCAACTTTCTGAGAGGTATAATCCTTGCCCCAGTTAGAGCTCTGCCTAGCAAAGTGGTTGGGTTTCTTTGTCTACTCTAACTGAATCCCCCACAGTTAGCAGGCAAAGCCATACTATTTGTGTCATGCCCAAAATTGCTTCTGACCTCCCAGGTAGCAAAGCTGCTGATTTTTGCACCTAGCTCCAGAACAGATAAACTCTCATTCTCACTTACCAAACAGAGTATGAGAGCATCCAAAGCAACAATGCTAATACTCTCGTCAGTTTGTTAATACTCTTGCCAGTTATACCCAAAGCTCTAGCAGTTTTTCAAGCATGAAAACTTCATTTGTCTTTCCTTGTCAGTTTCCAGTATCCTGATTTTGTTGTTTCTAGAAATTTTGTCTAGTTTTATACTCATTTTGTGTGGAAGAAAGAATTCTCAATACCTTCAAACTGCCATTTCTAGAAGTCCTAATTTTTATATACTTTTGCTTTTATAATCCATCATCTTCCAAATAAATGTAAAAGTAATTCAAAATAAATGATGAAAAAATAAATCCCAGTTAATGGTCCATAATCTTGAGTTTATATTGCCATATTGGTATCATACAGAATTTTTAATTACCATAAAGAGACCATAATTTTTAAATATGATTATTTGTTCACTGTATGTTTCCACACAGATCTTGAAACACTCTTTGAAGACTTTTATAGTACAGAAGCTTGCTAATGTACAATGAAATATCCCAAAGAAGGTATAGCTTTATAGACTTACTACTTAGTCAACTTTTATACTTTCATTAAGATGAACCAGCTTTTTCTTGGAATAAGGCATATGATAAATCTACAGGAGAAATTACTTCGTTCAGTATATCTGTTCATACAACAATACTCTCCTTATTTGGACTACTCTAATATTGTATAAAATTAGTTTTAAAGATCTGTCCAAATAATATCAAGCTAGACAATTTTTGCTTTTTCTCTTTTGAAATGGCATGGGCTTCTCTCAGTTTCCCTGCATGGAAGACTTATTTTCAGCAATAAAATATTTTCAAATCGTCCACAGAACCTGAAGGAAGTTATAGTAAAAGATAGAGAGTAAGCTGTCACTTAATGCAGCTTTTAATTTTAGGTGTATGAATATATATTTCTACTACATAAATGTTTTACAACTAATCTATCCAAACTCCTACTAACAGACATATCAATTATTTCCATTTTCACTATTATGAACAAACAAGTAAACATTCTTAAAAAGGTTCTGAGTATGCCAGAGAGAATACACCTTTAAGATAGATACGGTTATTAGTCCATTTTAATGGTACTGATAAAGACATACCTGAGAATGGGCAATTTACAAAAGAAAGAGGCTTATTGGACTTACACTTCTACATAGCTGGGGAGGCCTCACTATCATGATGGAATGCAGGGAAGGAGCAAATCACATCTTACATGGATGGTGTCAGACAAAGAGAGAGCTTATGCAGAGAAACTCCTGTTTTTAAAACCATCTGATCTCATGAGACCCATTCACTATCATGAGAACAGCATGGGGAAGATCCATCCCCATGATTCAATCATCTCCCACCAGGTCCTTCCCACAACATACAAGAATTATGGGAGCTGCAAGAGGAGATCTGGGTGGGGACACAGAGCCATACCACATCCTTCCATCCCTGGATCCTCCTAAATCTTGTATCTTCACAGTTCAAAACCAATCACGCCTTCCCAACAGCCCCCCAAAGTCTTAACTCATTTCAGCATTAACTCAAAAGTCCACAGTCCAAAGTTTCGAGACAAGGCAACTCCCTTCTGCTTATAAGCCTGTAAAATCAAAAGCAAGTTAGTTACTTCCTAGATAAAATGGGGGTACAGGCATTGAATAAATACAACAATTCCAAATGGGAGAAATTGGCCAAAACAAAAGGGCTACAGGCCCCATGCAAGTTCAAAATCCAGCGAGGCAATCAAACCTTAAAGCTCCAAAATGATCTCCTTTGACTCCATATCTCACATCCAGGTCACACTGATACAAGAGGTGAGTTCCCATGGTCTTGGGCAGCTCCACTCATGTGGCTTTGCAGGGTACAGCCTCCCTGCTGGCTGCCTTCACTAGTTGACACTGAGCATCTGTGGCCTTTCCAGGTGCATGGTGCAAGCTGTCAGTGTATCTACAATCCTGGGGTCTGGAGGACAGGGCCCTCTTCTCACAGCTCCACTAGGCAGTGCTCCAGTAGCAACTCTGTGTGGAGTCTTTGACCCCACATTTCCCTTCCATACTGCCCTAGCAGAGGTTCTCCATGAGAGCCCCGCCCCCACAACAAACTTCTGCCTGGGTATCCAAGCATTTCCATACATCTTCTGAAATCTAGGTGGAAGTTCCGAAACCTCAATTCTTAGTTTCTGTGTACTCACATTCTCAACACCATGTGGAAGCTGCCAAGGCTTGAGGCTTGCACCCTCAGAAGCCAAGCTCTATGTTGGCCCCTTTCAGCCATGGCTGGAGTAGCTGAGACACAGGGCACCAAGTCATTAGGCTGCACCCAGCATGGGGATCCTGGGCCCACCCTGGGAAACCACTTTTTCCTCCTAGGCCTCAGGGCCTGTGATGGGAGGGGGTGCCACAAAGGTCTCTGAATATGCCCTGGAGACATTTCCCCATTGTCTTGGTGATTAACATTAAACTTCTTGTTACTTATGCAAACTTCTACAGCTGGCTTGAATTCCTCCTCAGAAAATGGGCTTCCCCCAGGCTAGAGTGCAATGGCAGGATCTCAGCTCACTGCCACCTCTGCCTCCCAGCTTCAAGCAATTCTCCTTCCTCAGCCTCAGCCTGAGCCACCCAAGTAGCTGGGATTACAGGTGCCTGCCATCATGCCCAGCTTATTTTTTGTATTTTTAGTAGACGGGGGTTTCACCATGTTGACCAGGCTGGTCTCAAACTCCTGACCTCAGGTGATCCACCTGCCTCAGCTTCCCAAAGTGCTGGGATTACAGGTGTGAGTCATCACACCCAGCTGGGTTTTTCTTTTCTCTCACGTTGTTAGGCTGCAAATTTTCCAAACTTTTATGTTCCATATCTATTTTGAAACTGAATGCCTTTAACAGCACCCAAGTCACCTCTTAAATGGTTTGCTGCTTAGAAATTTCTTCCACCAGATACCATAAATCATCTCTCTCAAGTTCAAAGTTCCATGGATCTCTAAGGCAGAGGCAAAATGCTGCCAGTCTCTTTGCTAAAGCATAGCAAGAGTCACCCTTATTCCAGTTCCCAACAAATTTCCCATCTCCATCTGAGACAGCCTTCATCTGGACTTCATTTCCTAGATCACTAACAGCATTTTTGTCAAAGCCATTCGACAGGTCTCTAGGAAGTTCCAAATTTTCCCACATCTTCCTGTCTTCTTAGCCTTCCAAACTGTTCCTCCATCTGCCCATTACCCAGTTTCAAACTCACTTCCACATTCTCAGGTATCTTATAGCAATGCCCCACAATCGTGGTACCAATTTACTGAATTAGTCCGTTGTCACATTGCTGTAAAGAAGTATCTGAGACTGGGTAATTTATCAAGGGAAGAGGTTTAACTGACTCATAGTTCTGCATGGCTGGGAAGGCCTCAGGAAACTTAAAATTATGATTGAAGGGGATCAGGCGTATCATCTTACATGGCAGCAAGCAAGAGAAAAAAATGTGTGTGCAGCAGGAAATGTCAACCACTCATCAGATCTCATGAGAACTCACCTGCTATCATGAGAAAAGCATGGAGGAAACCACCCCCATGATCCAATCACCTCCCACCAGATCACACCCTTGACACAGGAGGATTACAGGGATTATAATTCAAGATGAGATTTGGATGGGCACACAGAGCCTAACCATATCACATGGTATAATAACACACAAAAGATTCAAATTGTTTCACTTTTGATATTATCAGATTTATTAAAAATTCCCAATCTTATAGCTATATAAATTAAATCATATGGTTGTTTTAATTTGGATTTCTCTGAATACTAATGAGTTTAAGTATCTTTTCAAACATTTTCTTTTCAAATGTTTGTTATCCTAAAGAATGATAAACATTTTTTCCCCCTCAGAGAGAAAAATAAAGAGAAGAAAGAGATAGACAGACAGAGATGGGATGGGGACAGGGGAAAGGAGGAGATAACAAAGATCTGAAGAATGTATACTAAAATTTTTTTAATTTTGAATGGCACATTCATGACTTTTATTAAATTATTTTCATTTAGATTTCAATGTTTAACCAATTTACCATATTAGTCTGTTTTCACCTTGCTGTAAATAAATACCTTTATATGTTTAAGTAAGAGTGAAATCTAAAACAATTAAGATTTAAACTACAAAACAAGAATTAAACTAAATTACACTTTAAATTTGTTCTTCACATTTAAGATGTTGAATGCTACATGGTGGTTTCTGACAACGATTTTCATCAAAAACTGATTCAGAAAATTGCAAGCACTTACTCGAAGGCCAGAAATCCTCCTCATGGTAACCTGGCGGTTTGAATCATGGTGTCCAGACACTTGGTTTGGACCCGGAAACATGAAATCTCTTGTATTTTCATCATAGGTAGACAGTGTTTCACCCACTACAAGAAAGATAGCCTATGATTCAAATTATAACAAAATATTCTATTTAGAAGCAAAATCATCAAGTATGATATATGTATTGCCTGATGCCTTACTGAAATAACTGTTTGGGCCATATTTATTTTCTATGAAAGGAAAATTAAAGATATATTAAAAATATTAACACATTTTCCTTTTCCAGAAACATACTACATATTAGTAGTCCCCCCCTTCCCTTTTGGAGACAGAAGATGGTCATGTAAACTTACTTCCTAGGGGAAAAAAAATGTTCTTTTGAAAATATAAAGTCTAACATTTATATATCAATTACCATCTCCACATTTTTTCTTTTTTTTTTGAGATGGAGTTTTGCCCTTTTTGCCCAGGTTGGGGTGCAATGGCACAGTCTCAGCTCACTGCAACCTCCACCCCCACTGGGTTCAAGCAATTCTCCTGCCTCAGCCTCCCGAGTAGCTGGGTCTATACGTGCATGCCACCACACCCAGCTAATTTTTATGTTTCTTAGTAGAGATGGGGTTTCACCATGTTAGCCAGGATGGTCTCAATCTCCTGACCTCATGATCTACCCGCCTTGGCCTCCCAAAGTCTGGTATTACAGCGTGAGCCAACACACCCAGTCAGCACTCTATTTTTCACATAAAATAAAAATTTTATTAATATAGATGCCTATAATCACAGAAATAAGTATCAGAAATGAACTAGCCTCTATATTTTAAATCTGCCTTCTCCAGGGAACTGTAATATTTACTACATAAGTTAATATTTTATTATTTTCCACTCAATAATAAGCAACACACAGAAACAATGTTAATTACTTTATCAGTAAAAATATAGTTTTAGAAAAATTACAAAAACAAAAAGTCAATTTTTATGACTGTCACACAATATTTTAGAGTAAGTTACTTTCCATTTTCAATTATTACTATTCAATTTTAGAATAATGTATTAAAGTCACATAATCTTTCTGTATACATTATTTTGGTCTATTGAGATGTTATACAAGTAGATCAACAATAGAAACTCAACATTGTTCTTAACTTGGGAAAAGGAGGAAAGATGAGATTTTTTTTTTTCTTTTTTTGGAGACAGAGTCTTGCTCTGTCACCCTGGCTGGAATGCAATGGCATGATTTTGGCTCACTGCAATCTCTGCCTCCTGGGTTCAAGCGATTCTCCTGCCTCAGCTCCCCAAGTAGTTGGGATTACAGATACCCATCACCACACCTGGCTAATTTTTAGATGTTTAGTAGAGATGGGTTAATTTAAAGTCAAAAAAATGACTTAATTTACCACAGGAGTGACCACAGGTGATCTGCCTGCCTTAGCCTCCTAAAGCGCTGGGATTACAGGCATGAGCCACCATGCCCAGCCTGGAAAGATAAGATTTTAAAATTAAAAAACATGTCACTGAAATGAATTCCCAGGTCACTTTACTTTATCAGTATATAATACATTATATCCTTATAAAATAATGTAATATAATCTAATCATATATAATACATGATATTATATATATTACATCAATTTATGATATACATTAAATCAGTATATATTACCTGGTGGAACTAGCTGTATCAACTCGAACACTGCTGTATCATCTAAAAGTTTGAAGAAAAATTGGCTTAAATAAACAAATTAGTTAACAATAAAAAAATGACTTAATTTACCACAGGAGTGTCTAAAAGCTAAAGTAATCACGAGGAAGGCTACACATATGTTTATATATTAGTATATAATGTGTACTTTTATAAATATGTCTATTTCTTAAGCAGAGTGATGAGTACAGCAAGGTTCAGTTGACTCTTGAACAACTTGAGCATTAGGGGCACCAACACCTGTGCCATCAAAAAATCCATGTCTAATTTTTGACTTCCCAAATTCTTAACTAATACCCTATTGTTGACCACAAGTGTTACTAATTACATAATTAATGTATATTTTATGCTATGTATTATATATTGTATTCTTACCATAAAGTAAGCTAGAGAAAAGGAAATGTTATTAAGGAAATCCTAAGAATGAGAAAACACATTTATGACACTGTACAGTAAGTTTATCTTATCTGCTCACAAGATAAATTGTCTATCTGAAATGAAATGCAACCACAGTTGTAGACCTCTATCCATGGTACATATCAAGCAATTCAACTTTTATTGTAATGTCATGACTTTTCTCTGCTTCTTGAGAGTACTTCCAGCATAACTAGTGAAACTTTGCATGGGTCCCATGGTGTTATTCCAGGTTTTAGGTATTTCACCTAAAATAATGAAAAATAAGTAAGAACCACAAGATATCACTTTTTACTACGATGTGCAAGTTACTAGAGAAGGGAACTACCCATGCAGAGATGATTCCTGTCACACGGTGTTTTAAGTGAATACTCAGAACACTTGAGCCCACACAATAGCAACATGAGGTGGCTACAATATATTATAGTAGTGCATGCAGTATGTACCACAGTTAATGTTATGCAGTTATGATCAGTACTGTCTTTACATTTGTTTACATTTCTCTTGACTAAGAATGGTGCCCTGTATGGTCTTCTCAGTGTTTGTGTGTGAAAGTTTTGATAAATTTAAGTTTTGTTTTGTTTTTGACACAAGGTCTCACTTCTGTTACCCAGGCTGGAGTGCACTGGTGTGAACATGACTCACCACAGACTGAAACTTCTGGGTTCAAGTAGCTGAAACCACAAGCAGGCACCACCATGCCCAGCTAATTTTTTTTTTTTTTTGTAGAAGTGGGGTCTCACCGTGTTGAACTTGAACTCCTGGGCTCAAGCAATCCTCCCACCTTGGCTGCCCAAAATGCTGGCATTACAGGTGTGAGCCACCACACCTGGCCTAATTTTAAGTTTTTGTAATAGGTTTTTATGGCAGCAAATTATAAAATAAACTAGTATCTACAGATATTTTATGCATTCATGACACACTTCTTTTTAATTTTTTTCAGCAATACAAGTTTACACAGTTCATCTGTGAGTTTTTTCAAACTGCCATAAATCTCCAAAAAGGTTTCCCATACACTTATTGAAAAAAAAATTCATATACTAGTGAATCTATGCTTATGCTACTGAAACACATGTTGTTCAAGAGTCAGCTATATAATACAAAACTCCTTATATTTTTAATATAATGGAAATATTTCAAATTAATTTATAAAATAAAAAGAAAAATAAGTTATTCCCTTTCTACCTTTCAAGGATCCATAAAAACAGCATAATCTCTTATTTTAAATTCCACCACTTTCATCCTATGGAAATCTCAGTCATTTAACCTTGTACTTATATATTTAATCTATGAAGAAATACTATAAACTCCCTTCACAACATAACTTGGGGCTATAATGACGAAAAAAAAAATAGACCTGGCCCTTTTTCTCAATAACCTAAAATTACATTGAGAAGACAAACATTAAATGAAATAAAGATACAAATAAATGTATAATTACAAGATACCAGTTAATGAAGGTGTTGTACACTGTTATGAGAGAGTATAATAACAAGACCTAATCTATTAAGGGAGTCAGTGAGAGTTTCTCTGAGGAAATGCTCTTCGGGACCTGACCATAGCACTGAATAGTGATGGCAGCAGGAGGCAGACAAATCCCAAGGCAGACAGCTTAGGGTCCCCAGTGAAACCTGACCTTCAAACTGAACACAGTTTAAAACCTTAAAAGCAAGCTACAAGTCTTACATAAATCCACAGATTAAACTGAGAACCTCTCTTCCCATTTGGTACTTTCCTCTGACGGATCCCAACCCTTCACCTATTCTCCATATATCTGCCCTTCCCTAATTGGTTTTGCACTGTGATACGCATCTTTCAGTGGTGCCTTTTTTGGTTTGCTTACACACAAAACAATCAGCATACACTCCCCCATTCTGAGCCCATAAAAACTATGAACTCAGCCACACTTTGGGACTACCAAACTTTCAGTAGTGAGCTGCCCACTTAGGTACCCCTCTCCACTGACAACTGTTCTTTCACTCAATAAAACTCACTGAGATTGCTGACAAGATGGTTGAATAGGAACAGCTCCAGTGCACAGCTCCCAGGGAGAGCTATGCAGAAGGCAGATGATCTCTGCATTTCCAACTGAGGTATATGGTTCATCTGATTAGGGCTGGTTAGACAGTGGGTGCAGCACAAGGAGGGCGAGCCAGAGAAGGGTAAGGTATTGTCTCACGCGGGAAGTGCAAGGGGCCGAGGAACTCCTTCTTCTAGCCACGGGAGGCCATTAGGGACTTTTCCCAGCACTCTGGCACACTCTTCCTGGCATTCTGGCTCAGATACTGCACTTTTCCCATGGTATTCACAACTCACAGAGCAGGACATTCCGTCCAGTGCCTACAACACCAGCACCCTGAGTTTCCAGCACAAAACTGGGCAACCATTTGAGAAGATACCAAGCTAGCCACAGCTGTTTTTTTTTTCATACCCCAGTGGTGCCTGGAACACAAGCAAGACAGAAGCGCTCACTCCCCTGAAAAAGGGGGCTGAAGCCAGGGAGCTTAGTGATCTGGCCTGGTGGGTCCCATACCCACAAAGATCAGCAAGGTAAAATCCACTGGATTGAAACTCTCACAGTCAGCACAGCAGTCTGAACTCGACCTGGGACATTCCTGCTCGGTGGGGAGAAGGGTGTCCACCATTGCTGAGGGTCAGGTAGGTTTTAACATGACCTGTGTAAACAAAGTGGCTGGGAAGTTTACACAGTGACTGGATGAAGCCCACAGCAGCTCAACAAGGCCTCTGCAGGCAGAGTGTGTCACTAGACTCCATCCTCGCTCACCAGGGCATCCCTGAAAAAAGGCTTATAAAGACCCCACCCTCCTAGGACAGAGTACCTGGGAAAAGGGGTGGTTGTGGGTATACGGCAGACTTAAACATCCCTGCCTGAATGGTATGTCCCAGTCAGGGTACACAGATGTCAGGGAACCCCTTGAGGCAGTCTGTCACCTGAGGTGTCTGTCAGTCCCTGACTGGGAGACACCTCCCAGCATGTCTGTCAGTCCCTAGCTGGGAGGTATCTCCCAGTTAGGAACTGACAGACACCTCATACAGAAGAGCTCTGGCTGGCATCTGGCAGGTACCCTTCTGGGAAGAAGCTACCAGAGGAAGGAACAGGCAGCAATCTTTGCTGTTCTGCCACCCCAGATGGTAATTCCCTGGCAAGCAGGGTCTGGAGTGGACCTCGAACAAACTCCAGCAGACTAGCAGCTGAGGAGGCTGACCGTTAGAAGGAAAACAAACAGAAAGAAATAGTTTCAACATCAGGAAAGGAAATCCACTCAGAGACCCTATCCAAAGGCACCAACTTCAAAACCCAAAGGTAGTTAAAACCACAAAGATAGGAAGAAACCAGCACAAAAAGGCTGAAAATTCCAAAAACCAGAACGTCTCTTCTCCTCCAGCAAGAGAACAAAACTGGACAGAGAATCAGTTTGACAAACTGACAGAAGCAGGCTTCAAAGGGTGGGTAATAAACTCCTCCAAGCTAAAGGAGCACCTTTATAACCCAATGTAAGGAAGCTAAGAACCTTAGAAAAGGTTAGATGAAATGATAACTGGAATAACCAGCATAGAGAAGAACATAAACCACCTGATAGAGCTGAAAAACAAGGCACAAGAACTTCGTGAAGTATACACAAGTTTCAACAGTTGAATCGATCAAGTGAAAGAAAGAATATCAGAGATTGAAGATCAACTCAATGAAATAAAGAAAGCAAGATTAGAGAAAAAAGAGTGAAAAGAAATGAACAAAGCCTCCAAGAAATATGGGATTATGTGAAAAGACCAAATCTACATTTCATCATTGTATGTGAAAGTGATGAGAAGAATGAAACTAAGTTGGAAAACACTCTTCAGGATGTTATACAGGAGAATTTCCCCAACCTAGCAAAGCAGGCCAACATTCAAATTAAAGAAATACAGGAAACACCACAAAAATACACCTCGAGAAGAGCAAGACATGTAATCGTCAGATTCACCAGGGTTGAAATGAAGGAAAAAATACTAAGCACAGACAGAGAGAAAGGTCAGGTTACCAACAAAGGGAAGCCCATCAGACTCACAGTGGGTCTCTCAGCAGAAACCCTACAAGCCAGAAGATAGTGGGGGCCGACATTCAACATCCTTAAAGAAAAGAATTTTCAACCCAGAATTTTATATCCTGCCAAACTAAGCTTCATAAGCAAAGGAGAAAAAAATCCTTTATGAACAAATAACTGCTGAGAAATTTTGTCACCAGGCCTGCCTTACAAGAGCTCCTGAAGGAAGAACTACACATGGAAAGGAACATAACAAATTGTATGTTCATTTCAGAAACATACCAAATTGTAAAGACCATCAACACTATGAAGAGACTGCATTAACTAACGGGCAAAACAACCAGCTAGCATCAAAATGACTTGATCTAATTCACACATAAAAATATTAACCTCAATGTAAGTGAGCTAAATGCCCCAATTAAAAGACACAGGCTGGCAAATTCAATAAAGAGTTAAGACCCATTGGTGTGATGTATTTACGAGACACATCTCACATGCAAAGACACACATAGGCTCAAAATAAAGAGATGGAGGAAGATTACCAAG